ATCAAAGATGTCAATTACAACATATTAAGCAATATACGAATACGACAGTGATGATAGTCTCTCATTGTTTACATAGATGATTTCTAAGCAACGATAATCACGTGCATATAAGACGCTATTCTGTTACCAATTATATATATATATATATATATATATATATATATATATATATATATATATATACAAAACAGTGGGATCAGTATATGAACGTAAAAGATTTATATTTATTTATAATTATTATTTTATCTTATCTTAAAGTCGCGGGTCATTAATTATTTAATTAGAGGGAGCTTACTTAATCTTAGTTAAAAAATAGTAATATTTTAAAAAAAAATAACATTAATTACTAACAATAATTTATAATACATAACAAATCGTAACACACACACACACATATGTGTGTATGTGTTTATACGTTATTTTAAAATATTTAAGTAAATGCTGTGTTTCTCAAAATGAAGTATTAACAATTTCCGAGTAATTCTATAAAAAATATGCGCCTTCCGCCAGGAAACCTCTATCCTAGTCGGAAACGTCATAAAGCCTATAGTGCTATACCATTTAGCTACAGAGGAAGCGCCTAGTTAGCGACTTCGAATTACTGCGTTTAAACTAACCACATCATTCCTCTGTAGCGAAATGTTATAGCACGCCAGGCTCTATGACGGTTCCGTGTAGGATACAGGTTCAATTCCTGTTGGAGGATCCATATTTTCTATGAAATTTCTCGGATATTGTTAATACTTAATACTTCTTGTTTTTCACTCTCGCGTGGTCATGTGTGACGTCACGCTCTGCGACGCGATTTTCGCTTCCGCGTCTCGTATATACGAGTTTGTCGTTACCTTGAAATTTTTCATGCAGCAAGGGCGGACTATCATTGTTGTTTCGTCCATGTGTTGTTTGATTTATTGAAATTGTCATCTTTGAGAATGGCTTATGTAAGCCGAAAGCTTAGGTTGGATTTAAACATATATCAATATAGTGATTTCCTTTCGTCTTTCAACGATAATGTCATTAAGCCTATCAGACAATATGAAAGAAAATTAAAATAAATAGACAAAACTTGTCCATATTATTTAATTTTCTCGCCGGAGTCGATCCTTGAAATCTACAAATCAACCATTCGCCCTTGCATGGAGTATTGCTGCCATATATGTTCTGGTGCCCCTTCTGTTTGCCTCGGGATTCTTGATAGGCTCCAGAGGCGGATATGCGATATAACTGGCCCTGTTCTGGCATCTCGTCTACTGTCACTTTCTCACAGACGAGCCGTCGCCTCTCTCTGTCTGTTCTACAAATACTTTCATGGCAATTGCTCCGAGGAGCTACCATTCGCTGGTTCCCAGACTGGTTCAAGCGCCCTACGAGGCTGGCATCCCGATCTCACCCCTTCACCGTCTCTTCTACTCCAATAGCTTCATGTCTCGCACCTCTCGCCTGTGGAACTCCCTTCCCTATTCCAGTTTCCCTGAGAGCTATAATCTCCAGCTATTCAAGTGTAATGTCAATCGGCATCTCCAGTTGCCTTGATCTATCCACTATCCTTCTCCTCATCCTTTCTTCTATCACTCCTATCTGATCTTGCTCTAAATTTTCTGTAACCCCTTGCGTCCTAGTGGCTTCCCGCCTTGCTTGGGGCGAAACGCTTAAAAAAAAAGAAAGAAATATTGTCCTTTTTTGGTATTCTGCTTGTTCTCACTGGAATTCCTTTTGTCTTTCTTGATATTTCTGTTGCAACAGTAGTTGTTGTTCCTGTTGGTGTTTCAACAACTCTAGCATTACACTTTTAAATTCGTCCATTTTACTGCGGAAAGCTAAGAAATGAGAGGGCTATTTTGTTTTTCTTTTTACTCTCTTAAATAAGTCTGTTTGACTTGTACGATTCTCTTACTGAAGAATTTAAAAGCGGGAGACGGGGTAAATTTTTACTTTACCCTATCAGCGAAAACAATAAGCCTGTTTGACTTGTACAGTTCTTTCATTGACTAGTTGGAATGGAAATAAAAATACAAGGTTCGTCGACCTTCTTCCCAACCACTGAATTGAACTTGCAGAAATCCTCTTGATTTGAAGAGTTTCTTTTGTTTCACTGTCAGTGTTGTAATTAAAACTGGATACGCTTTTCTCGTAGAGTTGGAGTAGAATTCCTTTCTTCACCACTATTGTAGACACTGGCAAAGAAATTATGATTTAACGTGAAGTCCGTTTCGTCGAATTCTTCGTCTCCAAGATGTTGCGACCAAGTAAATGGTTAAGTACGCCAGAAGAATATTACACGACTAGAAAGAGTGTATCGAATAAACTAGCACTCGATCTATTCGCTGTTCCCTGTTCCTCTGAAGGTTTCTGTCCTACTAATCTTATAGTAAGCGGAAGAGTTTAACAGAGACTCTTTAGGACACCACAATATATCGTCATTGAATTATAAATGTGTGCTGTTGGTAATTTTTACCATCAATAGCTTGTTGGCTTAGTAGTAAATTCACAAAACCTTTTTTTCACCGGCGCAGGCCTACGTTCACACAGATAAACTTTTGTTGCTTAGAAGGATGACGTCGCCAGGCGTCGAAAACGCTGATTGATTGAACAGTTTTGTCTTTATTTTTTTCACGACACAAAATAATTATCCCGACATAGTTTACAAGAATCGTTTTTTTTTCCTCCTTTTTTTTGCGATCACCCTGTGGGCGATGGTTTTAGCTTCATGGTCACAAGAATTGCCCGAATGACCCAGGGAACATTTAGCTACAGAAGAAAATGCTTTATGTTTACAAAGAAATAAAAAGATCTAGAACCGATCCACTCCAGAAAAAAATCAGAATTTTGTAGTGAAACCTTTCTTGGTCGACCTGATAAATTTTCATACCATTTCGTATATATATATATATATATATATATATATATGTAAACACCAACACCGAATGGTGACAGTCTGTTTCATATTTGAACGTAACCAGGATGGTCTCTAAGCCTGTAAACAGACTATAGCTGCTTGGTGCTGACCTCAGTGTCCAATTTTATTTATATATATATATATATATATATATATATATATATATATATCATACTTATTATAAAACCCAGGTTGTGTGTGTCTGTACGTTTATATATTGGATCGGATTTCCTACATTTTCAACCGATTTCAACAAAACTTCACAGAACTACGTAAAATTACTTTGCGGTGGTTCTGACAGTGCCAAAAATTGGAAAAACACAATTGTTTTTGCAAGAAATCAATTTGAAAACACGATTAAGAGGCTTCGCAAGAATGAAAGGGGGATAACTCATATTGAGTTATACTTATTATAAAACCCAGGTTGTTTATGTGTGTGTGGGTGTGTATGTGTGTGCGTTTATATATGGGACCCTACATTTTTCAACCGATTTCAAGAAAATTTCACTTTTTTTTTGGCAGGTAGTGTTTCTTATTGTCTTGCACACTTTTTTCTTTATTTTTAACATTCAGAATTCTTTAAAAATTCCATTTACAAGACAATTGTTTATAATAAAATTCTATTCAATCGGTAGACTCATAACGATTGAAAACAATGTTTTTGTTTGAGTTTGGGTTTGACCAATTCGTAAAAAAAAAAACGAAACAAAAAAAAAACTAATTAAGACATGCGTGTCCATCAACCTTAAACAATAATCTTTGTCAATTTTATTTTTCAGTCTTTATGATAGCCGATACTTGATCTATCTCTTACTGTTACATCCCCTGGTAACGCCGGGCTCCATTGCCAGTATATATATATATATATATATATATATATATATATATATATATATATACGTTATATACTATATATATAAATATATATATATATATATATATATATATATATATATATATATATATATATATATATATATATATGTGTGTGTGTGCAATACGATAAATATGTAGTTGCTAATTCTTTTTATATAAAACATGTATTGCTGGTATTTCCCCCCTATCACAGTGTTTCGGTATTGTTTGGGGTTTCGCTCTTTGCCTTAAGCTGGGACCCTAGTAGGTGCTACCGCTCCGAGTCACGGTGGATCTGGGAACAACATCAATTAAGAGGTCGTTCCACGCTCGTCAAAACATCCTATCTTCCAATCAGAGGCCTTGGTGCCGGATGTTGTTTATCGTCATACCTATGACTTTCGGCATTCGGTAAATGTTCATTATTCCTGCTGTAGACTAAGTCATGTTCTACGGACAAACCACGCAGTAAACTACTGATTTCGTTCGATCTCTATAGTGAAGAAGCTCAGACCCCAGTCATTAGAGAAAGATTGGGAACACTGACTTCTGTAAGAAACCTCCCATGATCCGAAATGACCCTGAAAAGGTTACGAGGCCGTAAAATTTATCAACCCACTGACTGGCACTTCTTTGAGTTATTCACAGGAGAAAGAAAAAGAAAAAAGAAAGTAAAGGAAAAACAGAAAGAAAAAGAATGAAAGTAATTTTAAAAGAAAGATACAAGGAAAGTTAATTAGAAGAAAAATAAGAAAAAGAAAGAAAGAAAGAGGGAAAGAAAGGAAGAAAGAAAAATAAAAATGCAATCCATGAATGAAAGAAAGAAATAAAGAAAGAAAAAAAGAAGAAAGAAAAAACAAAACAAAAAAGAAAGACAAGAATGAAAAGGGCAATAAAATAGAGAGAGGTAAAGGAAACAAAGAAATCTAAATAAATGAAAGAATTAATGAAAGCAAAGAGGAAAAGAAGAAAAAAGAATGAAAGAAAGAAAAAGAAAGAATGTAATCAATGAATGAAAGAAAGAAAGAAAGAAAGAAAAAGAAAAAAGAAGAAAGTGAAGCAGAAGAAAAGAAAAACGAAAAGAAATAAAGAAAGAAATAATAATAAAAATAAAAAGAGTGAAAGAAGACAAAAACACATATATATATATATATATATATATATATATATATATATATATATAAAATAAGTGAAAACAAATATATACGAAAGAAAGAAAGAAAGAAAAAAATTAAAACAAAAATGTAATTTATGAATAAAAGAAAGAAGAATGAAAAAAAAGAAAGAAAGAAAGAAAGGAAGAAAGAAGAAAGTGAAGAAAAAGAAAAGAAAAACAAAGAAAAATATAATAAAGGAAAGGGTGATAAACGAGAATGAAAGAGCGAGAGGAAACAAAGAAAGCTAAATAAATCAAAGAATGAAGGAAAGCGAATAAGAAGGAAAGAAAGAAAAAATGTAATCCATGAATAAAAGAAAGAAAGAAAGAAAGAAAGAAAGAAAGAAAGAAAGAAAGAAAGAAAAAGTGAAGAAAAGAAAAAAAAACAATAAAAGATAGAGTGGGAAAGGAAACAAAGAAACCTAAATAAATCAAAGACTGAATAAAAGCAAATAAAAAAGAAAGAAAGAAAGAAAGAAAGAAAGAAAGACAGAAAGTGAAGAAGAAGAAAAACAAAGAAAAGGACAATAAAAGAGAGTGTGGGAAAGGAAACAAAGAAACTTAAATAAATCAAAGACTGAAAGAAAGAAAGAAAGAAAGAAAGAAAGAAAGAAAGAAAGAAAGAAAGAACAGGGAAAACAGAAAAAGGTGAGGGAAAAAATACAATAATAAAGAAATAAAAAATAAAATAAGCAAGCAAGCAAACAAATAAGAAAGAAAAATGAAAGAAAGAAAGAAAGAAAGAAAGGTAGGCGTAAAGAAAGAGAGAAAGAAATAAAGAAAGAAAGGTAGGCGTAAAGAAAGAAAGAAAGAAAGAAAGAAAGAAAGAAAGGTAGGCGTAAAGAAAGAAAGAAAGAAAGAAAGAAAGAAAGAAAGAAAGAAAGAAAGAAAGAAAGAAAAAGAAAAATGTAATCCATGAATAGAAGAAAGAAAGAAAAAGTGAAGAAAAAGAAAAACAAAGAAAAGGACAATAAAAGAGGGAGTAAGAAAGGAAACAAAGAAACCGAAATAAATCAAGGACTGAATAAAAGCAAATAAGAAAGAAAGAAAGAAAGAAGGTGAAGCAGTGAAAAACGAACAAAGAAAATTGTGAAAAATCAGGAAAAAAAGCAAAGAAAATTGGAAAAAAAAACAGAAAAAAAGCAAAGAAATTGGAAAAAAAGCAAAAGCAAAGAAAATAGGTAAAAGCAGAAAAACAAGCAAAGAAAAGGTGAAAAAGGGGAGAAAAACAAGCAAAGTAAAGGTGAAAAAGGGGAGAAAAATAAGCAAAGAAAAGGTGAAAAAGGGGAGAAAAATAAGCAAAGTAAAGAGAAAAAAAAGAGAAGAGAAACAAAAAGAAAGAAGAGGAAATTTCAGAAAGCGAGAAAGAAAGAAAAAAAAAACATCGAAAAGAGTGAAAAGCAGAGAAATGTAAACAAAGAATGTTCCGCTACAAATTTCTAACAAGTGCATTTCTGTCTGAGAAATGAATGTTTAGTTCTTTTTATATATTAATAAAAGCATGCCATCCACTCTCTTGGTTTCATTCATAGGAACTCAGCAAACACTACAATTGTGCATAGGAATTTAACAGATGCCAAAGTGTCCATAGAACATTCAACTCGTGTAAGGATACAACGAACCGGATATTAAATCTTTCCAGAGGAATCGTCTCCGTCTAACCAACCCAAACGTCTATATTTGTTTGCAACCGAATCTAATAAAACTTGTGGCTTGTTAATTTAAACGACTCCCAAACTAAACTGCTCTTTATTAATCATCCTAACGAACCGCTGGTGCCTTTCATCAGCATGGCTGATGCTAACCTCATTCTGCCTTCTTAGACACAAGTTTCCCACTGACACGAAGCAAGAATAATTAAAAAATACGCTCTTAAGTTAGGCGCCCGAGTGGGGTCGTCAGTGATGTTATTTGACTTGATTCATCAGGAAGTTTCGGGTCTTTCAACATCATACTCCCCGTCACCAACTCGACCCAATCAGGGGAGATCAATCCCTGATTCCCCCTCGCAATCAAACGCTAACAGCTACTCTGGCCTTTTTAATGAATTAGACGAAGAAAGACCACGTTTTTCCGCACATCCGATTGGATGTTTGTAACAACCAATCCGCTGTGCGAACTATGTTTTAAATGGTCCACATTGGGGACTGGCTTCTTTTCTTTTTTTTTTTTTTTTGGTGGGGGGTTGGATAGCAGTTTCAATGAATAACCGAGGAGGCAATCTGAACATTCCTAAACTTAACCCTGTTTCCTAAGTATTGTATAGTGTCTTTGGACTTTTTTTGGGGGGGGGACTTAAACTCAACCCTACTGTCACATTTTTTATCGTTTAGCCTGATTTTTAACATTATTACAGGTCAGTTAACCTTAAATGGATGTATTCGCAAATGAAAATAATTGTCCATAAACATGCCGTATATTTTGACTGTATAAAATAAAAATAAATAAGTAAATACATAAAACACCATAATATTCCTGAAAATTGATTTCAAACTATTTACAAATTTGAAGTCAGTTAAATACAATAAGCTACGAAATACTCCTGAAATTAAATTATACTACGAAAGAAGTGCGATCTGCTTTACAATATATCCTTTAAAATAAAATAATATTAAGTAATAACGAAGCTTCATAAGACGATTCTATTAAATGAAATGCTAAGACTGTTACAAGCAAAATCGGTTTACTATCTCGGTAGAGACAGTTTTTTTTCTCTCGTCATAATCTAACTTGAACATTGATTAAGTCGATCAATCGCCCGTACATCGAATATTTCTGAGTAAACCCAGTCTGGTACTTTTGTTTTATATCTAGAGACTCTTGACAAAATCCGTAAAACAAATTGGTTAATTTATCGGTCCTGATATGGCATCTCAACTTCAGCCATTTTTCGGAAGGGAGGAAGAAGTGGATTCACACTTTTCCAAGGAATATTTGCTGGTAAATAAATGTAATATCCCCAATTGGAATTTGAACGCGGCTCTTTGGTATTCAATTCCGAGCCCTTATCGATTACACGGCCTGCACATCTAACATTACAGCACCCGTCTAGGATTGAGTTTTAATTCTGACCCGCTATTTAATCAGTAGAAAACAAATTAACAATAATTAAGGAAGCAAACAAAATTAGAAAGAAAGATGGAAAAAAAAAAAAGACAGAACAGTAAGACAGAACAAAGAAAGAATAGAAAAAATAAAAGCGAACAAAAAAAAAAACAAATGTAAAGAAAGAAAAGAAAGAAAAAGTGAAAAGAAAGAAAGAAAAGAAAGAAAGAAAGAAAGAAAGAAAATATTGAAAATATTGATGAAAAAGGAAATAAAGAAAGAAAGCTAAAGAAAGAAAAAAAGAAAAAATGATGACTAAGAAAAAGTTTTTCAAAGAAAAAAAAAGAAAGAAAGAAAGAAAGAAAGAAAGAAAGAAAAGGAGGGCTAAGAAAAGAAAAAAGAAAGTGGAAAGGAAAGCTAAAAATATTGTGGAAAGGAGGGCTAAGTTGACGGTTTCAAAGAAAGAAATAAATAAATAAAGAAAGAAAGAAAGAAAGAAAGAAAAGAAAAGAAAATATTGTGGAAAGGAGGGCTAAGAAAAGTGATGACGGTTTCAAAAAAAAAGAAAAAGAAAGAAAGAAAAAAAAAGAAAGAAAGAAAGAAAGAAAGAAAGAAAGAAAAAGAAAAAAGAATTGTGGAAAGGAAAAAAAAGAAAGAAAAATATTGTGGAAAGGAGGCTAAGAAAAAGTGATGACGGTTTCAAAAGAAAGAAAGAAATAAAGAAAGAAAAAAAAAAAAAAAAAAGAAAAAGTGTTGAAAGAAAAGAAAGAAAAAATATTGTGGAAAGGAGGGCTAAGTAAAAGTGTTGACGGTTTCAAAGAAAGAAAGAAAGAAAGAAAGAAAGAAAGAAAGAAAGAAAGAAAATATTGTGGAAAGGAGGGCTAAGAAAAAGTGATGACGGTTTCAAAGAAAGAAAGAAATAAAGAAAGAAAGAAAGAAAGAAAGAAAATATTGTAGGAAGGAGGGCTAAGAAAAGTGATGACGGTTTCAAAAGAAAGAAAAAGAAAAGAAAGAAAAGAAAGAAAGAAAAGAAAGAAAGAAAGAAAAAAAATATTGTGGAAAGGGAGGGTTAAGAAAAAGTGATGACGGTTTCAAAAAAGAAAGAAAAAAAAAAGAAAAAAATAAAAAAGAAAGAAAAAGAAAAAGAAAGAAAGAAAGAAAAAAAGATTGAAAGGAAGGAGGGCTAAGAAAAAGGGCTAAGAAAAAAAGTGATGACGGTTTCAAAGAAAGAAAGAAAGAAAGAAAGAAAAAAAAAAGAAAAGAAAGAAAAGAAAAAGAAAAAAATATTGTGGAAAGGAGGGCTAAGTAAAAAAGAAAAGAAAAAAAGAAAAGTTTCAAAGAAAGAAAAAGAAAAGAAAGAAAGAAAGAAAGAAAGAAAGAAAGAAAGAAAATATTGTAGGAAGGAGGGCTAAGAAAAAGTGATGACGGTTTCAAAGAAAGAAAGAAAGAAAGAAAGAAAGAAAGAAAGAAAGAAAGAAAGAAAATATTGTGGAAAGGAGGGCTAAGAAAAAGTGTTGACGGTTTCAAAGAAAGAAAGAAAGAAAGAAAGAAAGAAAGAAAGAAAGAAAGAAAAAAAAGAAAATATTGAAAGAAAAGAAAGGAAAGAAAAGGGCTAAAGAAAAAAAAGTGATGACGGTTTCAAAAGAAAAAAGAAAAAAGAAAGAAAAGAAAGAAAGAAAAAAAGAAAAGAAAGAAGGAAAGAAAGAAAAGTGGAAGGAAAGAAAGAAAAGAAAGAAAAGAAGGAAAAAAAAGAAAAATAACAAAAAAAAATATTGAAAGAAAATAAAAAATAAACGAAAAAAGGAAAAGAAAAAAAAAAGAAAGAAAATAAGCAGCGGTAGAATGAGAAGAAAGAAAGAGAGAAATAAATAAGTAAAGAAAGAAAGAAAGAAAGAAAGAAAGAAAGAAAGAAAGAAAGAAAATAAGCAGGAAAAGTAATGACGGTTCATAAATAAAAAAGAAAGAAAAAGAAAAAGGAAAGAAAGAAAGAAAAAAGAAAGAAAGAATAAGAATGAAAAGAAAGAAAAAAATAAAAAATAAAACGGGAGATATAATGAATGAAAAAAAGAAAGAGAAATAAATAAGCGTTCAAAAGAAGGAAAGCAAGCAAGGATAGGGATAAAATAAATTGAATAAATAAAAAAAAAAATAAATAAATAAAAGAAAAAAGAAAAAGAAAGAAAAAACGGAGATATAATGAATTTAAAGAAAGAAAATGCAAGATGGAAAATAAATTGAAAAAATAAATAAATAAAATAAAAGCAAGCAAGCAAATAAGAAATAAATAAGTAAATAAATAAATAAATAAAGAAAGAAAGAAAGAAAAAAGAAAGGACAGGGATATATTAGGAATTAAAATAGAGTGCGTAAGAAAGAAATCAAGCAAGGATAGGGATAAAATAAATCGATAAAAAATAAAAAAAATGAAAAAAAAAAAATGAAAAAAGAAAAAAAATTAATAAAAAAAAATAAAAAAAAGCGTGAAAAAAAAGAAAGAAAATTAATAAAAAAAGAAAACATAAAGTAGCGAAAAAAAAAAAAAAAAAAAAAAGAAAAGAAAAACAAAGGAGGAAATGGAAAAAACGCATAGAAAAAGAGAAAATTAAAAAGAAGAAAATAAATAAAATAATAAAAAAAAGAAATGAAGACAAAGAAAAAAAAAAAAGAAAGAGAGCGAAAATAAAAAAAACAAAAATTATGTAAAAAAAGAAAGAATGTAAATAAAAAATAAATAAAGAAAATAAAATAAAGAAAAAGAAAGAAAAAGAAAAAAAGAAAGGAAATAAGGAAAAGGCAAAGAAAATGGAAAATGCAAAAAAAAATTAAACTAAGGAAAATTAAAATTGGAAAAGAATGAAAGAAAAATAAATAGAGAACCAAAAAGTAGATAATGAAGACAAAGAAAGAAATTAGGAGAAAAGAAAGAAAGAAAGAAAGAAAAGAAAAACAAAAACAAAAAAAAAAAAGGTGAGGGGAAAATAAAATTTAAAGAAAAAAGAAATAACAAATAATAATGAAAATAAATAAATATGAATAAAAAGAAAGAAAGAAAGAAAGAAAAAAGAAAGAAAGAAAGAGAAAAATAAGGAAAAGGCAAAAAGAAATATGGAAAAAAATTTAAAAAAAAAAAAAAAAAAAAATTAAAATAAAGAAAAAAAAGAAAATAAAAGAAACAAAATATAAATAAAATTGAAAGAAAGAAAGAAAAAAAAAGAAAGAAAAAAAAAAAAAAAGAAAGAAAGAAAGAAAGAAAGAAAAAAAGATGAAAGAAAAGAAAAAGAACCAAAAAAATACAAAAATAAAATGAAAAGAAATAAAAAAAATAAAATAAGAAGAAAGAAAGAAATAAGAAAGAAAGAAAAAAGAAGAAAAAAAAAGAAAGAAAGAAAAGAAAAGAAAGAAAGAAAGAAAGAAAAAAAAAAAAAAAAGGTGAGGGAAAAAAAAAGAAAGAAAATGATAAAGAAAAAAGAAATATGGAAAAATAAAATAAAGCAAGACAAAGAAAAAAATAAGAAAAAAGAAAGAAAGAAAGAAAGAAAGAAAGAAAGAAAGAAAATCTAAAAGAAAAGAAAGAAAGAAAGAAAAGAAAAAAAGAAAGAAAACAAAAAAAAAAGGTGAGGCGTAAAATGAAAAGAAATAAAAAATAAAATAAAAAGCAAAAAAAAAAAGAAAGAAAGAAAGAAAAAAAAGAAAGAAAGAAAAAAAAGAAAGAAAGAAAAAAAGAAAGAAAGAAAAAGTTTTTGTAAGAAAAGGAAGGAAGAAAGAAAGAAAAAGAAAAAAGAAAGAAAAAAAAAAAAAAAAAAAGAAAGAAAAAAAAAGAAAGAAAGGTAGGCGTAAAGAAAAAGGAAGGAAGAAAAGAAAGAAAGAAAAAAAAAAAGAAAGAAAAATTTTTAAAGAAAAAAGAAAGAAAAGAAAGAAAGAAAGGTAGGCGTAAAAAAAGAAAAAGAAAAGAAAGAAAAAAAGAAAGAAAGAAAGAAAGAAAGAAAGAAAGAAAGAAAGAAAGAAAGAAAGAAAAAAGAAAGAACGAAAGAAAAAAAGAATATTATTTTGCGATGATTGAAATACAGCTAATAAAAAACCTTTGTTAAAAAAAAAAAAATGATTAACGACTGGGTATCCATACTTCTAAGAAATTCAAATCCTATACAAATACTAAGATTATATTTGTCTTAAGATTAAAGCTGCGAATTAAAATGGCGACAAATTGGCGAGAAAAAAGAAGTGTCAAATTAATTCTTAGAAGAATCACCTCCCGTGGCACGTAAAATAAACAACTTTGTTGAAATTAAGTAATCAAAGGGTCACTTCGATGTGGTGCAATGTTAGCAATCTTGTTTCGCTAGAGCAATTACAACTGAAAAGTGAGGTTAGATCATCACTTAGTGCTCCATACTTTCGGCCTTGTGCCAAATCTAAGCTACGCTTAGGAAATCGGTATATCGTGTGAAGAGTTACGTAAAAAAAGAAAGATTTAAAAAATGATCAACTGGTGACTATGTAAACGCATTGATATGAACATGGGCGCTATAGGAGTAATGATAAGCAAGATGTGGCTACCTCGGGACATCTCATTAACAGGTAAGAAAAAGTTATTTATATTAGACTAGCAGTAGAGCCCGGCGTTGCCCGGGGATGTAACAGTAAGAGATAGATCAAGTATCGACCATCATAAAGACTGAAAAATTAAATTGACAAAGATTATTGTTTAAGGTTGATGGACACGCATGTCTTAATTAGTTTTTTTTTTCTTTTTTTTTTTTTTTACGAATTGGTCAAACCCAAATTCAAACAAAAACATTGTTTTCAATCGTTATGAGTCTATCGATTGGTGAATAGAATTTTATTATAAACAATTGTCTTGTAAATGGAATTTTTAAAGCATTCTGAATGTAAATAAAGAAAAAAGTGTACAAGACAATAAGAAATACTACCTGCCGAAAAAAAAAGTGGATGTTTGTTTTATCGGCTGAAAAATGTAAGAAATCCGATCCCATATATGAAGGAACACACACACACACACACACACATAAACAAGCTGGGTTTTTTAACCAAAGTCACTCCATGGAATCGCTAAAACATAGAGCATAGTCTGATGAAAAAGACGCCAAAGTTTATGAAAACAAAATTTTATCGTCAAAATGCTTATTTTTTTATGAAGAGGATAGACTAAATTTTTTTTTAATTATTTTTTAAAATTTTTCCATCTTTTTAGAATATTCTAAATTTTGATTTAAAAAACCTTGTTTCTCTTTGTCGCAACAAGGGGTAGTAAATAACATAGATAATTTTTAACGCATTTTTTTTGTATTTACACACATTAATTTGGAAAATCTTGTAAAAATAAAAATAATTGTCAGATGTTAATGAAACTTTCAGAAACTATTCACAGATGATCGAAATTATTATAAATATATATTTTTTATTAAAGTCATGGCAGAAATATTTTTTTTATATATTTATTAACACCCCCATAACTAATTTTATGAAAAACTCTAGAAATTCGAGACCATCGGTTTTAGTGATTACAATAGTTAAAAGCACAAGGCTTTGAAGAATGCAAATCATGTTTTTTTTTTTTTTTTTTTTTTTTTGGCCAACATACCTGAAAATCAGCTGTGAATTGTAACATACAAAACTCAATAAAACAAATACATTATTTAGTTTCAAATGCTTTTATTTGTTTTAATTTGTTTTTATGAATATGGACAATATTTTCTGAAAGCAAAAAATTTTTCAATGAAAATTGAATTTTTAATACTATTATTTCTTATTTCTTTAATTTTAAAAAACATTTTTAAAAATGTTTAAATTGAATTTTAAAAATATTTTAACATTAGTTAAAAGCAACATCAACCTTTCAAAATGTCCGTGTGACATTGTCATTGTCTAGCGCTTTGAAAATTGTATAATTTGGACCAATCAGATTAGCCATGGTAATTAAGAAGTGTAATTTTTGTGTTTATAGTAGGACAGTAATTATCAAGTACGGAAGACCAACCAGAATACAATTTAGTTGCATTATTTGAGTTCAGCATTGTTCTCCGCTGTTAAGCCCTTTACTTTTGCGAAACACGTATGGAGAAGTTAATTTGAGTTTTCAATTTCAACTGAGAAGGGTACCTACAAGTAACAGTATCATCTTATGAAATTTAACTACTGCTAAACTTTAATTTATATGATCTTATTTTTTATATTAATCTCAGTTATGACATTTTTCCATAAATGAAATATCAAAATTAATAATAAAATGAATGGAAATACAAATAACACAGTAAAATGTAATAAATGTACATAAAATTATAGTATTTTATGTACACTTCTGATAAAATTTCATAAGAAAGGTACGTAAATTAATTAGATACCTTTTTCTTATGAAATTTAATCTCACTATTAACAGTCTTATTTTTTAATTTCTTTATATTTTCCATAAAGCATCGTAAACGTAAAAATGAAAGCTAAGTACAAAAAAAAATAAAAAATAAAAAATAAAAATTAGAGCGCTGAAAGTTTTCCTTAAAAGTAACAAGGTAAATAATTTGTTCACTTAAATAATTTCACTTCCTTCCATCCGTAGAAAGAATTCTCCTCCCGTAAGTTATCTAAACGTCATGAATGTGCCTTTTGTCAATCGTCAAGCGACGCGAAAGGTTTGTTTTATTTTCAAATTACATTTTTTCGGCGCAGAAGCTAAGTTAAGCTAGGTTCAAAATATTTTAAATAAACAGTATAATTTCTGTTTTTATTAAAATCAGTTTTGAAAAAATGATAATTGACTTTTAAAGAATATCAAAGTAAGATTTTAATCTTTTTTATCAAATCGAAAAAATGATTGAAAATGATTATCTGCCTTTTTTTGACCAAAAAAAAAAACAATATTTTTAACGAAAATTTCAGACGTGCTAGGAACGATTAAAAATGTAAAAAAATACCCCAAAAATACTTTGATCTTTCCTCTTTAATAATAATATGAACATTAGACGATAAAATTTTGTTTTTTCGTCAAGTTCAGCGTCTTTTTCATCATGCTATGCTCTTTTGTTTACATTTTCGTGGGTGAGTTCTCCCCCTTTCATTCTCACGATGTGTCTTAATCGTGTTTTCAAATTGATTTTATTAAAAACAACTGTATTTTTCCCATTTTCGGCCCCATTAGAACCACCACTGTGAAGTTTTGTTGAAATTTTGTTGAAATCGGCTAAAAATGTAGGAAATTCGATCCAACATATAAATGTTACAGACACACACACACACACACACACACACACACACACACACACACAACCTGCGTTTTATAATAAGTAAGATTGTCACACGTGAAATGACGCACGTTACAGGTAATGTATAAAACGCTTCTGAAATGTTAAATAACTAGTTTATTTAGTTAAAATAGGCACCATGTTGATGAATGTTTATTCTACGACCTACCTCTAAATTCTTGATCTCATCTTTAAAAAAAATCCCTATCCTTTGGTGTGATAAACGGTTTAAATGCTTTGCTGACCTCTTCCTTATTGCAGAATGTTTTATTGCGTATGAAAAGCTCGAAATGCTTAAATAAGTGATAATCATTAGAAGAGATATCAGACGAATCTCTAGGACGAGGTAAAATTTCATAATTCAGGCTGTGCAGTAGATTAAGAAGCAGGCGGCCGGGTGTTGTCATGTGGCAAAATTGGGCCGTCCCTATTGACAAGAGGAGGCACGGTGGAGTAATGGATAGCGGCTTGGATTGAGGAATCGGTAGAGCCGAGTTCGAATTCCAGTCGAATCCATTACATTCACTTACGTGCTAACACCCTTGGGAAAGGTATAAATCCTCTTCTTCTCCCTCCAGCTATGGGTAAATAGCAGGACAGACTGGGTCCTATAGCCTTGGGTGGCAACTGGTCTAGGAGAAGGAAAACTCTGAATTCAAAACCTACGGAGGGTGAATGGGGTCTCTCTGAGCCTTGGTTAGCAATCCATTTAGTGATGGTGTCACTTCTGAACAGACTGTTCGGTTGAACTCTCTTCCTACGGACGGGAGGAACCCGAAGGAGGCTACGCCGAAGGGCGGAGTCTCCTTCGGGGAGGTAGACCGGCCCTGAACCCGTTTATACGGGTTCAATGGGCATATTTTTGGGCCGAGCCCACGGGCTTGGAGATCCCACGTTATACCAGCCTTGTGCCACATGACACGCTCGTGGGGGGGTGACTGAATATCGTCACGATAAAAACACCCTTGATAGCCCTAGCGAAGCATCAAGAATTCAGCTATTTGACAAGATTACGAACTACACCAATCAAAGTATTAGCTATGACAGATAAGGAATACTGGAAAGGTGTAGTGAGTTCAATCTCGGCTGAGGCCGCAAGATGATGATTCACAAGTCTAGGATGTTTCTTTTTCAATTCTTTGTGCATACACTGAATTTCTCCACAATACGAGGTTGATGTTATCGTTTTCCCCTGGGGCAAGAATGAATAATGAATAACCCTTTTGAAAGACCACCATACAGTAACCATAAACTTTTAAGGGAGCAGTGAAGTTTTTAGGTATTGTTTTGGTGAATTAATTTCCTCTAACCACGGGCCTACTCTCTTACTGTTATCAAAGAATATCTATTTCTCATCGCATGTAATGATTCTAAGCAAAAATGGTTCTTTTTCCAGTTTGTATTCATAGGGTAGGATTAATCGATATTGTTTCATTGTAATCATTTTCATTTGAGCTTATGAGTAACAATATATTGAAAGAAAAATTGCCTGGAACGAAAAAGAGTCAGGAAGAAGTCAAGATTTTTTTTATATGCTACGGAGGTTGCTTCGTTAGACGACCGGATCAACAACCAACAAAAATGTCTGATATTTCATGTGTAACAAGCTGATATATTAGTTAAATATAGCTGGATCAGTTTATTTACAGAGTTGCAGAAGTTTTCTTATGCATCTCAATTGAGGAACCATCTTCCGGTTTCTTGCTTTCCAGCCAAATTTGATCTTACAAAATTTAAATGCAATGCGAATTCTTGATTCCTCTTTATTGTTCTCGATCTTAAATAATGTTCTTTTTCTTATTATTTGACACTCAGTAATCCATTGTGTCTTAGTGCCTTTAATACCTTGCTTGGGGTGAAATGAGTAAAAAAAAAAGAAGAGTTTATATATGGCAGTAGAAATTTGAAAAATGGCTGTCTTTTCATTTTGTATAACTTAAAGTTGGATAATACTTCCTATTATTATTATCATTATTATTATTATTATTATTATTATTATTATCAATATTATTATCAATATCATTATCATTATTATCAATATTATTATTATTATTATCTTTGATTTCTGTCGTTTACACATTTCTTTCCGGGTCCCGCCCAGGGACCTAAGGTTAGAAATGGCGTCATGACACTTTCCACTGACAAAAAAAAAAAAAATTACATAGATAAAGCCCTTCGTAAGGTGTGGGCTGTACTTGTCAGAACAATTTTCTGTATCTCCTTGAGGCATGGACTTCCAGGAATCCTTCAATTAGTCTACTGCAATCTTTTTCCAACCAGTCCTAGGGCTCCAACTACAACAGGGATTGTT